TACTTTTTGACCTCGTGAACTTATCTCGGATTCGTTTGTGACCAACTTATTTCATATGTTCATTAAGTTGAGATTTATGTCACCGTTTCCTTATTAGTCGTTTCCTTGTTACTCGATTTATTTTCTTTGTTATATTTCTCTCAAGTGGTTGGCTGTTGCTTGATATCCCCGGTGTGGCTGCGCTTGATGTGCATGTTGACAAGGTGCCTACCTGTCTATTATCCACTACCTCGTCCATACTGGCTCCAGGAGACAGCTGGTCGTTGCTGGAGGGGACGGGGTGCACGGTCCTTGTGGCCGTGTTAGGCTCGAAGAGTGGTTCCACGCAGTCAGTGTGGAGCGGACTACGGTCCAACCACCGCCTTGTGTGCACTTGATTCCCCAAATACAGCGTGCTTGTGAAGGAGTGTGGGGCGGCTCCGTTGATGAAACGTGAGTCCCATCCACATGCCTCACAGTCTTATTGCTTCGGGTTTACACTGGATATGGGGTGTGGGATTGGAGCTGTGGGTGGTGCAGCGCAAGCCAACCATGGTCCCTCTGTAGGCGCAGGCGGCCTGTGGCTGGCCACAGTGACAGGCAAATCGGAAACCGGATGCTGCCAACGATATATATCACAATCTGTGTACTGATTTTGTGCCATCGGGACCATGACGGAATAGGAAAACAGGGCTAGAGTTAAAAAAAGAAAAAACAAACAATATTTGTCCATTGTTCCACTCGCAGGTTTTGAGCTTCTAGCTGTTCTTTTATTGCGGGAAGGAAGGGGGATAACCGTAACAAGCAGACAGACACGACGACCACTGAGTTCGGTTTCGAGCCACGACTTCCAACGCTTCCAACCAACTGCACTCAGCATCCTTGGGACCCCATCCAGGGAGTCGGGAGGAACCAACCGTGGCTAGCTGTTTTGTCAGCCTTTTCATCCTGCTTCTTCAAGTTATAGGCTGTCCACCACACCGCCTCCTCGAACCCTGCCCAGCGACCGCGAATAAGGCAAGACGCGGAAGATGCTGAACGGGCATACGCAGTACGTGTCCTAGCCATTCTTTTCGTTGTGGTCTCTGTATTTATTACCCGTTTCGTGATTTGCGCTGGCCCTATGTCTATTTTATAAACGGTTGATAACATATATATATATATATATATATATATATATATATATATATATATATTTATATGACGCAGCGAGACAAGCGCCTCGAGGGAGTGGCTGTCTCTAGCCAAAACACGCTGTCTGACTTCAGCGTTGGTTACGTGGTTCAACCACCACACACGGGCGATAGACCGCAAGCAACGGTTCTCGAAGACAGACAGTCGACGTAGGTTATCGTTACGAGCAGGCCGTCTCGCAACCGTACAACAGTACAGCGCGGACAGTAGCCCGCCCTTTGATAGAGAGACGGATATCATGGCGGCGCCATAAATGACTCAGCCTGGAGAAGGCGAGACGAGCTCTCGAGATACGCATCGAAATCTCGTCTCCAAGGGCCCCACCAGCAGTTATGCAGATTCCCAGGTAGATAAAACTCTGTACCACTTCTAAAGTTTCACCATCTATGGTGAGTGCAGGTAGGGGCGTATACCAGTCTAGAAAAAGCGCTTTGCACTTGGATGCATGCCATACTTCGACGCTTCAATCGCCAAGGAATTAAGAGCAAGTTGGACGGCATGCGGACCGTCACCCAACAAGACGATATCATCAGCGTAATCCAAATCAACCACCCGACTACCTGGGAGGAGCTCAACGCTAGCGTTCAACAAGTCTTCTACAGCATTTTTGAGGACACCCTCAATGGCAAAATTGGAGAGGTATGGAGAGAGAGTGCATCCGTCGAACCCCACGGGTGACAACAAAGGAAGGCAAAAGCTTGCCATAAGCCCTAACTCTACCTGAGGTCAGAGTATACAGAGTATGCAGAATGAAAAGGAACTCGCCGGGAATACCATTCCTTAACAGACAATGCCACAATGCAGCCCTGTCGACAGAACCCAAGGCAGCACGGATATCCGGGAACATAACAATCGTTGGCTTTTGATGCACATGGCGGAACTCGAGAATCTGGTGGAGTGTGAAAATCTGATCGATGCAGCCGCGACCAGGGCGGAACCCAGCCTGTTCTTCTCGCTGTAGTGATTTACGCTTTGGGGATAGCCTGTGAAGTATGATGGACACCAGAATCTTGCAAACGACAGGAACCAAACCTATGCCCCTTTAATTGGAGCAATTTGTGCACAGGCCCTTTTTGAAGATGGGGACGACAATCGACTCACTCCAGGATGATGGAACCTCTTTTGCCCAGACTTCTGAGAACAAACTGGTGAGTTCTCGAAGCAGCGAAGAGCCCCTATCTTTAAATTGAGCAGGAGGTAGACCATCAGGCCCGGGTGCCTTATAATGCTTTAGGCAGCAGAGTTCCCGCCAGATTTCCTGGTGAGAGGGAGGATCAGTTGGGATAGTCCACTCATCATCATTGTGCGCCCCAGGGGAAACAGATGGAGTTAGCTGCCAGGGAAACTGCGAGAGGAAATATTCCGCCTATTGCTCCAATGATTAGGGAACCATCATTTTCGCAAACTGTTTCGCTTAATCCTGATTGGAAGCCTTCGGTGACTCGGATGAGGTGGAATAGTTTTCTGGTATTACCAGAGAGATTAGCAATGTCAAGCTCTCTAGCATGTTCACATCACCAGGTCTCACGGTCCTTTTGTAAGCTCCTAGGAAACGCTCGATCCAGGGATCGGCGTTCCTCACTACCGCTGGTGTCGACTGAGATAAGCCGCATCTGTCCATCAGCGACAAGGAGGCAGTGGTGATCCAGCTTTTCGGCAAGTGACAAGCGAATCCACAACTGACAGTACTGGCAGAAACTAAGGCGTCTTTGATGCGTCTCCATTGCGAATTGAGACTATCGTCAAAGGATGAAGCAGATGTTGCAGATTTTCGACGTTCGGTCGATAGTGCGTATGTCTGGGTGATGCTCCGGAACGCATGCAAATGTTGGAGCGAACTAGTGAGTGATCGGAGTCCAGATAAGGTGACCAGTACGATCAGCAGTCTATTACGCTTCTGCGTGATCTGGAGCTTATTGCTATGTGGTCAAGCTGGGACCATTCTTGTGTATGAGAAGGCGGACGCCAGGTAGCAGTGTCTTTTCGAATGACGAAAACTTTTACTCGAAAGAAACAAACGACGATCAGAACAAAGAGTTAGCAGTCTGTCTCCATTGTCTGATCGGCTGTTGGCGAGACCAAAACTACCCACAAGATGGTGCTCGTCTGATGGCGGGCAGCCCACCCGTGCATTAAAATCTCCGGCAAGAATGACAATGTCAGATCTTTTAGCGGAACGCAGAAGTTCATGTAGCTGTTGGTAAAAGCAATCCTTGACTGCATGCAGGCTGCAGTCTGTAGGAACGTAGGCGGAGAGACCAAACAAGGCACGCGTAACATCTCGACGCTTACTTAACTGACATGAACTTCTTACTCTGACTGCACATAGCCGACTGGGATCCAGTCAATCAAGGCGAACTCAGCCCTGTCACTCAGTGGAACCCTGACATCAGCTTGGCCAGAAGCGTCGGCCTCTGGGTCTCCGGAAAGGCGCAAGTGGTATTTCACACCAGGGTTTGCCGGAGATGTCATTCTGATGACGGTACTGGCGTCTTGCAACCTAGTATCGGAAAGGCAACAGATGTGCACCGAGAGTGTCTCAATGGTGAGAGCCAAACATGCTTGTAGTCCGATCTGCATCAGAGTGCGCACATTGAACGCTACAAGGCCGAATGGAGAACCAGGACGAAGGAAAGCTTGGGCTTCGGTTGAGTGTGAGGAGGTTGTGACCACTGGGCAATGAACACCAAACATTTGGCTCAGAACTCTGTCAGATGCGACCAGTGAGCTGTTGCTGACAGTAACCGGGGAAGACATAGGTGCAGCTGAGAAAGGGGACGTGGGACGATCTGTGAGCGGATGTTGAGCAGCAGAGACAGTAAAGCCAGTAAACATAGCAAGGGGAACAACCATGGTTCGTCAGTAGGCGTGATATTATCCGGTGGCCCAGGCCGAAGTAGAGGGGTTGTCTTAGGGGACCCCACCCTGAACCTTTCATCCAGGATCTAACCTACAAGGCAGCAGGGCGATATGAAGGTATCGCAACCCGTTGGGAGCCGGTGATCAAACAAGTGGTTCATACGCCTTTAGGACCGCACAGGACCAGGGGCCTAACACACCCTTAAATTACAATGCCGCTCAGAGGGGCAAGGAGCAGTGACTTTATTTAGTGGCGAGTCACATCCGCCATGTCATAATGTTGTTAAACGGACATATGCGGCTTTTTATAAGGAGAACGCTTGCCAGGCGAATGTGTCAGCTGTACGCCGTAACGGCGCTTCGCTGCTGCGCGACCACCACCAGTCGCGCGTGGGCTGAGTATACCGCCTCTACGCGGATTCGAACCGGTGACCTTATGATTGCAAACCATGCGTACAGACCACTCGGCCACCGGTCGACTTAGATGCACAATTGAGACGGACAATCGCCGTTGTCAGCGAGTTCAGTTAGGCTCATGGATAACAACCAGATGAGATTGGGAGCAACCTAGACGATCTACTTGAGCGTTCATATTTCTTGCAACGAGGACGATATGTGAACTACTAACACAGAGAAGTTACATGTTCAGATCGTGCTAAAAGATGTCCTTTCCATTATAAGAACCACAGTCGGTAGGGGGCATAAGCGGCAACCACAAAACAGCGTATAACACTGCCTCGTGAAGCAACCTTGGATGATGCCATCAAACGGGCTGCACACAAACGACTGCGACTGTTCGCAGACAAACCTGTAAATCAATGTCATCAATCGCATTAATACGAATGAAGGCTGTGAAAGGAGTAAGCATTACTGGTAGCCCTAAATACGGTGGGAGAACGATTAAGAACTTAAAAGTGACATGGTATATATGATGTGGCAATGATACGATATCCTAGAAATTTGCTCACTCTCAATGCGGTTGGCAAGATAGCGCTGCCCCTGGTTGAATATCTTGATATAGGACCAATGCTTGTCCAGTTCATCATCTATCGTAACATACTGCGCATCGTAATGCTTCAAGCGCTTCATGAAATCTTTCATGGCCTCATCCCTGTCCATTCCGATGTAATCGGGGCTACTAACCTTGACTTCCTTTGAAAAAGTAAAAACACATCTTTATGGCAAGAACGCTCCCCAGAAATATAAAGGATGAGGTGGGTAATGAAGAACCAGATGAGATCTACAAACCAAATTGTTAGAAACCTTACCTGGTGTGGTTAATACCCGAAGTCAGTGGTGCCCAGGAACACACTCCTCGTTTTTTTAGTGACAATGCCCATAAATTGCACCATGGGTCTGCAGCTCATATGTCCGCCTTCATAGACAAAGGCGGTTGGGTCGCTAACATTAGCACCTGCTGCGGTGCAAAAGAGTGAGACACAACGTAAGTGCTTAGATAACATAGGCAGTAACTGGCATCAAACCATGTGAAGATGGCAAATTTTGTGATCTTCCAACAGTTGGAGACCCAAAATCCACCCAAATGTACAAGACTAAACAGAGATGACTTGTGGATAGACAATAAAGTCGAATGACAAAGTGAACTACAAGCATGCAGGACAACGAATAAACTAAATGGGGTCAGTGGGTGCATTAGTCTAGATGGTCACCGGTTACTGACCAAATCTAAAATGGTTTCCAATGCGGGAGTTTGAAATCACAAACGGCCGGTTAGCCCGGACTGATAGATCAGCACTTACTAAAATGGGCAAACCACTGTGTACTTCAAACTCACTACAAAAGGATGTCAGCAGAGTAAGAAAGCATCAACAGACGACTCGCTGCCACTCGACCATCACCAATCTCGTGCGCACTAGGAATACTGCGAGGTCGCCCGTACCTACGCGGATTCGAAGCAGTGACTTGGATTACAAAACCATCGACCGAATATATGACGTCTGCCTACACATCTGATTGCACGAACTGCTAAAACCTGTAAGCTGAAACGAATGAGCTCAGTGGATCCGTTAAGCTACAAACTGGTGGGAATTGCTTGCACTGTTCAGTATAGTTCAAACAGCTAACCAAGGTGTATACAAAAAGCGCGGCAGATCTAATTATTTCGATTCACAGTCTATGATGATAAGAACAGCAATGATAATTATAAAAATAATGGGAAAAATAAACAAGAAACGGGAAGGGTGCATAACTCAAAAGAAAAGAAAACATGAATACCAGACAGAAGAGTTGTGAGTCAGAAGTGAAGGACGAAGTCTGAGTGCGTGGCAGCGCCACCATAGATAGGGCTTTTACCCACTAGTGCAACCTGCCTAGAGGCCTCCAGATTTGTAGACAGGTAAATCAACCAAATTCCATCCTTTAGTCAGTTTTTTCAAGCCTCCCAGCCATGACAGGTGGCCACATCGGAGTTTCACCCACGTGGCAATAACAAACAACGTATGACGAAGCGATTACAGCGCAACGGTCAAAGTGTTTCTCACCTTCAACTAACGCGTAATGATGAGGAGGAGGAAGCTATCGGCCATCAGGCATGTTGAAGACACGGTATAACCAGTGTGGTCCATTCGTGTGTAGTTGAAACACCAGCGAGATACCAGAGGTTCTGATCCCAGACACCAGTAGGCAAATTTCAGTACTGTCTATGTTGTGTACAGGCAAGCAAAGAGGACCAGTTTGCTAACCTCCTCAACCTGCGGTTATCGTCTCTTTTATCCACACGCTAACATTGGTAATAATGCAGCGAAGTGAAACAGCTGCATAGAAGAACGAGTTGATGAAAAGATACATAAACCCTATCGTGGCGATTGCTGACCTCGTCGATGATACGATCAATAGGGTTAATATGCCTACATTGACGGATGGTTCAAGTGACTGATTTAAGTTGCCTATGGGTGATAGTGAGAATTCGTGACAGAACATTGAATGTTAAAAGAGTGGAGTGCGGAAGAAGAATGTGCTAGTTCACTTAGTAACGAATGAATGGCAGTTTGCGTAGACACAAGGAAAGCCACATTAAAGCAGACTGTATAAAAACTGCTATTCGCGATTAGTTCCATCAAAGTTTAGGAGTTAACAGAGAAATACGACGGTAATGATGAACAACACCAGTAGTGAATTAGGGATGAGTTTCTCTAGGGTCTGTATACGGTTCAATTGGTCAAAGTATAGAGTACCCAATAGAATATGTTTTTCCGGTACGGTTTTATGATGCTGTTCAAGCAACTAGTGAGGGATAAAAAATGCAGTGTTTTCTACTGGGACGTTAGCAGTACGCCGGTACGCAGTACCGACGCTTCCAGCCGCGCCATCAACAACCGGTAGCATGTGGGCTAAGGATACTGCGAGGGTCGCCCGGCCCCGTACGCAGGCTCGAACCTGCGCCCTCGGATAACAAGGCAGGCATGTGATCCTCAAGACTTGGGGTCGGAGTGAGAAACAGCCCCACTTTCGGTGGCGCAGTGCATAGGGAGTCAGTGGGAAAGTTTCGAAACGATAGAGAGAAGGCGAAAAATCGTAAAGATAACCGCGAACTTTGGTACGATAGAAATGTCAGTGGTTAAATTTGAGTTAGCACTGTACTTTTAAAGCGATAGTAGGTTTTCAGGCCTGTAACAAGTTGTGTGAGAACGTACCGATAGCGAAAACGTTGCAAGTAACCTCCCGTGGGTTCATGGGGCCTAATCAAATATTTGGATACGGCGGGTTAGTTGAGTTGCCCTTTATACTAATTGATTCAGTGATCAGGTAGGTGGGTCAGATGACCAATCAGCTGATCAGCATTCTAAGCCACTTTTGCACTCACAGGAGCCTTCTATGGACTACTGCGTCAACTGTGATTGATGGCAATAATCGCCCCATCTGTCCTGTCAACAACAGTCAACCAAGTCAGATGTTGTCATAAGGCTCCGGAGACAAATGGGAACAAATTCGCAACCAGAATCAGCTCCAATGAAGTAGTAGAACTGCCAGTGATCCATTGTCTAGAAGTCTTAAGTCAGATAGCTCAGTGGCTTCAAAAGGCTCTTCCAAGGGAGTGCAATCGGCACTTCGTTCATTCATTACGTCCGTCGGTGACAGACGAGGTTACAGTCTACATTGATGTTGCTGGCTGGGGAGGCAGAGATGAGTGATGTCCAACCATTGAGTACACTACCCAAGTTGAGAGAATGAGCACTATGTAGGTGTGTAATACTACATGGTCGGAACTGTAAAGATGCGTCAAATAGATCATAATCGGTGTCCGGACTATTGTGAGAGCTCACGCTGCTAGCAACGTTCGCGATATTTGTACTGACAACGGTACACAAGGTGAGATGCTCCGCAATTTGGCGAATGGTAACATAGACAGAAACAAATAAGAACACCTAGCCTTCGACCGCTGCCCAGTAACCAAAATAGAGATATGAAGCCGAACTGCATATATACGGCTGACTTAAATCTCTTTCGGCGAAACCAATCGAACGTTTGCTGTAGAGAATCCACGAGTCGCTGACTCTATCAACAGATATTCGAAGGTGCGACGTCTAACCATAAGACCAATAACTAAACAATCGCAGACACGTTGAGACGCTTCGGCCTTTTAAGCGTGTTCTGGAAACTCAAAGCAGTACTTACAAATGAGCGACTACTAAGAGCTAGCGTCAACTGCTGGCCAATATGACAAGTGACGCAGAAGTTGGAAGACCGATGTAAAGGCAATAGGAAAGACTAGTGCTCCAGCACTGATGTGAACAATTACCGGCTCTCGTCAGAAAGGAATGCTTTCAATTGATGTCAAACAAAAGCAAAAAGAACGTCGCCGATTAGATGCTGTAAATAAACCATACACCTCGGTTTCCCATCCTGAGGTGGAGTCATCGAGGATAACAGTAACAGAATCAACAAGGATATGACAAATGGACGTTTTACGGAGGACTGTACCTGTGGGTCTTGATAACAAAGTCAGACGAGCGAAAAGGCGGGAAGAGGAATAAGATTCTTAAGTTCTGCGAGAATCGGTTTAGGAGCGATCACGCGCAGCCATAGTTGGCTGGTGATAGTAAGCGTAGTAAACGTGCATACACAGCCAACGACAGTTGTGCTAAGCATAGTTACCGACAAGGTGTATTTTGGTGCTGACCGCGTTTCTGCAGTCAGCTCGTTGCTTCCAACTGTCGACTCGTCTAAAAATTCTACGGAAATTCTTCACACTTCGGTCCGTGGCCTTAAGGATCACAAGTCTACCTTTTAAACGGAGGTCGCGGATTCGAGCCTATGTAGGGGAATGGGCGGTTCCCGCAGTTTCCTTAGCTTACGCGCGACTGGTGATGGCTACGCGGCATCGAAGTGTCGGTACTGCTGATGCCAACTTCTATATGTGTGCGTCATTTTCGCAAGGATCTCCCATATGACTTCAGCTACCATTAAGCAAGCACGTAACATGCTGTCGGGTCCATCGTCCTCTAGCATGTGGACCATCGATAAATAAATAAATAAACAAATATTTTATTCTCGACTATGCGAGGCACGCCAATTGAGGCATGATCAGATAGGGAGAGAACGCGACATAGCTCGTCAGTTTCGCATTTCCCCGACCATTGCAAGTGGCTTTAATTAAAGCGCTGTGGCATACGGCGCATAAAGTGTAGTGTGACTCCGACGCTCGGAGAGATGCACACAGCAATTTTGCGCTAGTTTAACGGCCATAAAATTCAACAAGTCAGTAACGGAAAGCACACGTGGCAAGAAAAACTCTGATACGCGAGCAGACCAAGCAAAACCCTATGTTTCAGGCATTTAAAGCAGCTAGTGCCCTTCAACAATTTGAAAAACACGGAAAGAAGACGAAGGCTGGTAGATGCATGCATTTCGTATTGTCTCCTCAGTACCATTAACAATAACCGATATACATAGATATAGCTAACAGTGGGTGCAACCAGACAAGCTTAAGGTGCAAGACGAATGACGGAAGTTCACACCTACGTCCAAGACAGCTCTACGCTGACAAATAATTGTTTCTGAACACACAAGGCTGGCTTAATCCGGCTTATAGCGACAGCTCAGCAAACCGAAGGAAGCGGCGATTAGTGTGAAGTAACACAACCTTAAACGCTGAGCCCAGCTCTATCTGGTGACCCGAGTCTAATAGGTGTTTGCCTATCGAGGAAGCCGGCGGTCTGCGCGAACATGGAATCTGACGAGGGTGGGCAATCTGAGCAACTTCACGTTGAACCCATCTTGGTACATGTTCCTTTATTCGGGAAGTCAGTGTTCTATTAGTTCTGTCTATGTAACTGTTTCCGCAGTCACATACAAATTGGTATACACAGTGTGAGTTGGCCCCAATAGGCTGAGCTTCCTTCGTTGGAGGAATGGGCAAATTTCGGGTTCGGCTGATGACGACAACTTGTGCAGCATAGTAACTTCCTTGTGTAGCCGAAATTATACGCTTAGTTGTCTTCAGCGTGGCTAAGTCATCTTTAAAATGTAACTCTATATACACTTTCTTCTTGGCTGTCGTGTGCACCAAGTCCTTTGGACCTCGCGGTTGGCTGTGTTTCTCGATAAATCTTCGAGGGTAGCCGTTCGCCATTAGTGTTAATGTAATTAACACTAGCTCATCGTCAAGACAGTCGGCCGAACAAATTCGTCTGGCACGACTAACTAGAGTCTTCACAATTGTCGGTTTGTACCGCACTGGTGAAGTGCAGGCACTGATCGGACCAAGTTGATTTCGGTAAATGGACCTCTTAATTAATCCATCATCCCTGCGACTAATGAGTATGTCCAGGTAGGGCAGACAATTCTGTCCTATTTCTGTTCTATTTTTCTGTTTTATTCTGCTCTATTTATTTTATTCTATTCTGTTCTATTTTGTATGTAACCCGTAAGTTAGCATGAGCACCATTGAACCCTTCTACCAAATGTGTGAGCTGCTGTTCCGACGAACAGAAAGCCAAGATATCATCGACACATCGTTTGTAGTAGGGCACCTGGACTATTTCCGTAGAAATGCTTCTTTCTACCATCAGCATGAAGAAATCAGCGAGCAACGGACCTAATGGGTTACCAATTGCTACGCCGTCAATTTGACGGTATGGTGTATTCCGGAAGTGAAAATCCATTCTCCGTGCACAATAGTAGAGATTCTCTTAGCAATTCAGTCGGAATCGGTAGCGAACAGCCACCGTTTTCAGCTAATTCGACAAGTAATCAAACGTCTGATGTAGCGGCACGTTGGTAAATAAGGATTCTACATCCAAGAAACATATGACTTTGTCTGCCAGGTTGAGTTCATCCAGGTCATCGATGGGCTGAAACGAGTTTTTAAGACTGTACGAATTGAACTGTTGTTTCAGCGGAGATAGCAACTTCACTAACCAACAAGAGAGTTTATGCTGGGGCGCGTTTATCATTGAAAGGATGGGCCTGAGTTGCACTTCACTCTTATGTGTCTTTGAGGACTCATACAACTGTGGAATAGTGCTACCACTCGGCTTCAAACTATTAAATGTACCACAGTCTATCACGCAGTGGAGGAGAAGCAATTCCAGGTGACGAACTAGGCGAGTTTGGAAAGTGGTTATGTTCCCCACTTTCGTGAGCCGCTCGAATTTACTCGCATCGTTGAGTATGGCGCACATCTCATTGTATTCGGTTTTGGTCATGATTACCACTCCCGAACCTTTATCTGGTTTCATTACGACTACGTCCTTAGCTCGTAGTTCACGTAAGGTCTGAAAATGCCGAGCTGTGATGGCACATTCTTCATTAATTGGCATAGTTTCACCTCATTGGCGACATCGGTTAGCTTATTTCTGAACCAAATAGGCTTGTGCTACGCCATACTAATCCCCGCTCCCGTCGGTTTGCTGAGGCTGTTACTATAAACCGGATTAAGCCAGCCTTGTGTGTTCAGAAACAATTATTTGTCAGCGTAGAGCTGTCTTGGACGTAGGTGTGAACTTCCGTCATTCGTCTTGCACCTTAAGCTTGTCTGGTTGCACCCACTGTTAGCTATATCTATGTACATCGGTTATTGTTAATGGTACTGAGGAGACAATACGAAATGCATGCATCTACCAGCCTTCGTCTTCTTTCCGTCCTTTACAAAATCGTATATGGCCGAAACACAAGGGATCCCATCACTACACATAATCGCCGAAAGATGAAAAGAGGGAGTAGCCCTTGAAAATGCGCTTTGGCTCTGTAATGATTAACTTTACGGCCACCATGTGAAAGCATGTAAAGCTTTATGCTTGTTTTGCCCGTTTAACTTTGAGTACCCATGAGTGTCTCATTATCCGATGCAAAATCCACCCGTAACCAAGGAAAAAGATAGACTGAGGGAAAGTTACCAACATTGAAACAAAGTTACTGGTGTTACAAAATCGCAGAACATAAAACCGTCACTAGCATATTATGTGCGAAGACTGGAAACAGAGAACAAGATGTTTAAAAGACACTAACTCACGAGCACATTTTCTTCAATGATTTTTGGGTCATTACATATTGATTCGACGAATAAAACATCCAGAAGATTTGTTTTGCACCTTTCTACAATCCAAATTCGGCGCTCCCGTGTAGTGTTTGTTGCATCGAAGACGCCGATTTCGCCGTCTGCAGTTAGCCAAGAGATGAGATCATCAAGAGCTTCTTCTGCGATCATACTACAAAATTTGAAGCGAGCGTGCTACCAGTTTGCTTGAAAGGGTGATAAATAGAAATAAGCTTAAGATAAAACATCCCTCTGAAGTGTTGCAGATACAGTACGCTAGGTTGGGATGTCTATATTGGGGGGCCAGCAGGAAGTATCTCCAGATAGGTTATACTTGTAAATTATAAGAGCAAAACTCATAAATGATGTATCGTTAACTGGGCAGTGAGTCGGTTCAGATGAAGCTTAGTAAATATACGTATACTGCGAAAATTGGGAAATCCCTGGTGGAGAGCCTCTTTCGGTTATGTAGAAGTAACGGCTTCTAAATAAAATGAGGCGTTTAAATCTTGGTCAGGCAAAGTGGCACACGAAATACAGGGAGATATATAAAACCGAAGTACAATATAGCAATACGATATATAGCAAGAAGTAACGTGCATATTCATTACTTGTTGAACTAGAGCATGATGATACAACTAGGCACAAGTTTTTGTTAAACTAACAGACGAAAATCAAGGCGTTCTACAGCTTCTGGAAGAGCAATCAGCGTCACCAGGGATCGTTGTACAAACAATGGTAGCGTTACAAAAGACGCTATACAGTCTGACAAAGCTGATGAGAAGAAATGAGGTGCTCGCTAGAGTATATGACTTCAGTAAAAATAACTAGAGGGTAGGCAACACTAAAGTCCTCGGGGTTGATTAACACAAAAAACCAAACAAAGCAACAGTAAAATTCAACAGTATTGCTAGACGGCTTTAGAGAGGCTACAGAAACCAATAGCAGACAGACTAAACGGTCTAATCTAAAAATCATGGGCAATAACGGAAGGGTTAGATTATAGAAGTGGATAGCCATCTGGCAGGCGGGTATACTTTGAACAATGGTTTACCTCAAGGCGTGATGATGGAGCCTTACATTGTACCTGATTTAGCAACGATCTACTTCAGCTTCTTCGGTTGCCGTGTGATCTGCTTGCAGACGACCTGAAAAGATAGAAATCAGCAATTCCGACAACTGCAGCCTAATTCTGCGAGACCTTAACTGTCTTTCCATGTTGTTTTGTGGAATTCCGAATCCCGTTTAACCCATTAAAGTCGATATTCAAGAGTCTGTGGAAAGATGATGACGACTAAGCCTACATCCTTGATGATCAACCGCTACATCCCACGTCTTCTGTGAACGACATGGGTGTACGTTAGGATTTGGTCTGTGGACATGAACAGTCTACACCGAAATGGACTGCACATGCTCTGGGCGCTCAAGTGCAGCTGCTGCATCTGGTCTGAAGAGACTGCTGCTCACTTTTTCTCATGCATCATAAGATCAATGTCCACTCAGCTCACCCAATTATTGCCTGACAACTCGAGCCGAGGTGAAAAAAGTAGAATAGATATAACACATCGCTAGCAAGCTCATCCCCAGTTTACGGGCTTATCGAACAGAACCGAGTCCCGATCCATCCGTGTAAATGACATGCGTCGGATTGCAATCTTTGACAACGGTTGTCTGCGGAGGATAGCTCGTGCGTGTTAGGAACACTACATTGGTAATGACACTATTAGACGTCGCGTCTTCGGTAATATGGCCCCCTTTCCACAAGTCAACACCGCTGCGCCAAATGAGATGGCTGGATCACGTAATACATATGCCGTGCGAGTGTTTACCACAGTGGGCTCTATTCGCCAGAGCAGGACCGCACTGGAAGAAATCCCGCGGTGATCAGCCTACAAGGTGGTGACAAAATGTCAAGGCGCTGACGTCCAGTCTAGCGGCTGTCGCTTTTGTATGGCTTCCGGGCTAGAAAGTTAAAGAATGCCGCTGCTTGGAGACTCTTGTGAATTTGGCGTAGAAGAATGGACAATTTGCAAGAATTTATGCACCGATTCTTCTTATCAAAACAGTACTTAAACTGACAAAATAAGACCGTGTGAAAAAAATAAAGTGGAATATATATATATATATATATATATATATATATATATATATACATATACATATATATGTGTGTGTGTGTGTGTGTGCCCCATGCTGAGGCTGATGCATTCTTGATGCGTCTTCACCCCAATCGGACTAAACCAACTTACACTTAAACTAGGTCATTTTAAGCTGGATAAATTTTATTCCACTTTATCTGGTTTGTTCTGCCTACCTGAATAATCCTCCATTCATTGGCCACGTTGTTTACGCAAATTGCTCTTATCTTCGGTAACTTTGTTGCGTTTGTAGCATTGTAAGTAACTTGTGGATATTTCTTACTTATTACGGATCCGTTGCTAACCAACTTACTTCATATGGAAATTTGCGAAGAGTTTTGCCACCGTATTTGTATGCATTATTGGATTTATTTTATTTTATCTTGTCGTTTCAAGTAAATGGCTGTTGCTTGATATCCCCGGTGTGGCTGCGCTTGATGTGCATGTTGACAAGGTGCCTACCTGTCTATTACCCACTACCTCGTTGATACTGCCTCCAGGAGACAGTTGGTCGTTGATGGAGGGGACGGGGTGCACGGTCCTTGTGGTCGTGCTAGGCTCGAAGAGTGGTTCCATGCAGTCAGTGTGGAGCGGACTACGGTCCAACCACCGCCTTGTGTGCACTTGATTCCCCAAATACAGTGTGCTTGTGTTTGCCTGTGAAGGTGTGTGGGCCGGCTCCGTTGATGAAATGTGGCTCCCATCCGCATGCCTCCCGGTCTTATTCCTTCGGATTTACACTGGATATGGGGTGTGTGGATGGAGCTGTGGGTGGTGCAGCGCAAGCCATCCATGGTCCCTATGTAGGCGCAGGCGTCCTGTCGCTGGCCACAGTGACAGGCAAATCTGAAACCGGATGCCGCCAACCATATATATATATATATATATATATATATATATATATATATATATATATATATATATATATATATATATATATATATAGCCTCTGAATAGACAGACATCAAAACCGTGGGAATGATGGGGCTCAAAAAGATGCCTCCCGGGGAAATATCCCAGCCACGTGAACACTGGTAACTTCTGCCAAGATAGCACTAAGACATCTCCCTAACTTCCGAGGTGGAAAACACACAGGAGGCGGATAAGCGTACATGAAAAGTAGAGTGTGCTTCTGAAATTACTTCAACAGACAAGTTGGATTACAATTGTCTGACTCCCAAGGTAACAAAACTCGCAAGGCTGTGAACATAAACAGATAATACTAATACGCAAGAATTACTGATCAGACGGTAATATAATGAAGGTATCTCACCGACGACTGAGATTGGCATCCTCATTCGTTCCAGAAAAGTAATCATGTGCACATTGTTCAGGTATTTTTCGCCTCCTGTAAACACCAACATTAAAAACTATAAAATTTGTTACACTAACTAAAGGATTACACCTTTGGTATTAATGCCCACCCAGTTGAGATAACGACTCAGTTTTGTGGCGATGTACGACTTTCCGCGAGCGGGCAGTCCGACCAAAACTACGACCGTCTTGCCTTCCTTTCTATACTTTCCGTGAAATGGTGAAAGAGCAGTATAGTTCAGGGATATACTGACATCCCGTGACATGGCACAAGATGTCGTCAGTTAGCACGTCGAAGCTCAAGTGGAACTGTATCGATGGTAGAAATCAGTGAATGCTCTTCCTCGTATGGATCCTGAAGTTAGGATTATGTAAACTGTTTTGAAACCTAAAACGAAGCAAGAATCAAGTTCTGACCAATCATTTAAGGAAGATACACAACATAATAACAGTCGGATGTCATGGATTAAAACAATAAACTAGGAGTGAAAAGTGAGATGTGGAAGGGAAAGCTAACATTGCAACCGTGGCATCATTCATTCAAGTTCAGTTCAAGTTCAAATTCAGCTGGGACCGAAATGATAGGATAATCCCGTGAATGTTCCTTCTTTTGCGCATTGCTGAACCGTGAACTGAAAGGTCAGCTTGAGATGTTATAAAGCCTAAGACAAAGCGGATCACACCCTGTCCAGCCAAGTACTGTCCACATTTCCTGCCCAGTGGTCCCTGCAAGGCCGATTTATGTGAAGAAAGAGTGAAGGGTAAGATAAGAAATCAAGGGGAGGAATGTTAGCTAAATAATGTAATACAAAGGTATGAGATTAACTAGAAGAAATTCGAAAGGAAAGCTGCAGATACAAGTCGATTAGGAGAAGGGGAAGGTTTGGTACTGCCATCCAAGAGCATCCAACCGGCGCTCGAAACGCTCAACCGTAGATTCCCTAACGACGTGCTCCGGAAGCGAGTTCCAACGTCCAATAGCCCAGCGCGACAAGCGAGTTCCCATCCTTACCCGTTCAGAACGCAGTTTGTGCAGCTACAACGGGTGACCACGGAGAACAGGCAGCTTGACGAGACTAAAGGGCCAGGACAAGTCTGGACCAGTCTTACCCGTTAGAATACGGTAAGTGAGGATCAAATCTCTTCTAATTCTCTGGTAGTACATTGAGTACATACCCAAGCTAAGCAAACGTTCGGGATATGTTTGCCCCAGTAAATCCTGTACTCAATTAATACTCACTCGCAAAACCCTCTCCACTTCCATTTTGTCCCTTACAAGACATGGTGGACAAGCCTGGATACAGTATTCTAAGTGGGGTTTCACAAAAGCAGAGAAGATTCACAAAAATATCGGTCGTTAGGATACAGAAGGAGTGGCGACTAAACCTCAGCATACGGAATCCCATGCAAGCAGCCTTAGACAAATGGTGGACGAGGTCTGCACCAACCTAATGAGTGACAACAGGGATCTCACTTCCACCAACTAGATAGCGCGTGGGGGAAGTGGCACCTCAATTGCAGAAGACAGAACACTTCATCTGGTTTATATATATATATATATATATATATATATATATATATATATATATATATTCAGTCTGTTAACAGACATTGTGCCATCAGAACCATGGGGAAAGAAAAAAGTGAAGGAAATAGAAACTAGAAATAAGATTAAAAACGGAAGGCAACTTTTTTGGTTTTACACACGCCATTTTGATTTTTTTGTTTCTGTTTCTTGATTTTTGTGTGCATTAAAGGGAGGATAAAATGGCGGAACAACAATGACGCCAATGATGTCTGTTGCGTGCCATGACATCCAATGTTTCCTACCAATGGGATTCAGCATCTCGTGGTCCCCAACCTGGAAGACGGACTAGTCCGACTGCCGCCAAACTTCAGGTTGCCTTCTTCATTCTCTTTCTCCACGTCATTGGCTGTTCACTGCGGTAGCAACCATAAGGTTGACCAATCCCAGAGCATATCCAAGACACTCTGAATTGTCTCAGAACAACAGGGATATCCACAATATACCAGAGCTTGAGGTCATCAGCAAACAATAGCGACGGTACTTCAAGCTCCTGGGGTAGATTACTGACATGAATTGTGAAAAGCTACGGCCCTAAAACCGAGCCGTGCGCAACGCCACTAAGAACACGCTGTTCTCTCTCCTCTAGAAAAGCACATCCATTTAAGGGCGTCACCAGATATCCCATACGATCACAACTTTAGTGAGAGTCGTTGATGTGGGACAGTGCCAAAGGCTTTCGAGAAGTCCATGAAAAGCACTTTAATAGCCTGGTTGCAGTCTACTGCCTCAGCCCAGCTTCCACGAGCTGCAAGTAAATTCGTCAGAGACGAAAATCCCTTACGGAATCCGTGCTGTGCAGCACTGAGGATAAGTTTATTCAGGTGATTCTTCACCGAATCCCTGACCGGTTTTTCAAACAATTTAATTACTACGCTTGTCAAGCTGACAGGCTGGTAGTTCGCGGGAAGAACACTGCCACCGCCCTTAAAAATCGGACAGACGATTGCGTCCTTCCATTCCGAAGGTAAAGCACGGCTGTAGAGCGATATCGTAAACACGCATGTGAGAGCCACTTAGCTCAGCGGTCAATTCATGCATCAGCTTCTGAGGAATTGAATCAGGGACAGAAACTTTGGAAGAATGTAGCCCTTGCAATAGTCCGAAAATGTGTGCCTCCTTTATGCTGATTTCAGTTAGGCAAGAATCATCTGGGACTCTTGTGGCCAGCTCAACCTGAGGTAGAGGTCTCACGAGCAAAGACACCAGTACTGTTCGCTAAGTATACAAATCGGTATGCACACTGATCCCGTCCGCTCGTAGCAGCGCTGGTATAGACGAGTTGGTACAGTACAGAACTTCTTTGGGTTTGTTGCGGCTGCGTCAGCTAACTCCTTCTCGCACTGAAGACGAGCAGTCCAAAGATGTTGCTTACATTTATTTTTAACCGCGCGATAGCTTTCGTAAGTACTGGTTGATGAAGCCGCTTGGTAAGTTTGCCAGCACCTAGAGCGCCTCCTGAGCAGGTATTTACCTGTAAAATCTATCCAAGGAGACTGCACCCGTGTTTCCATTGTCTTAATGAGTGGAATGTGTGGAGCAGAGATCTCGGTGAGGTATGCCTTAGATTTCGCCCAGGCTGACTCAACAAAGTCAGCCACGGAGGTCGCACAACGCAGAACTGAAACTTTGTCTCGCATTGCGTTAAAGCCTGGCCGCCAAATATTTGGACATGCATCAGCGGTGGCCTGATGATACTTAGTGAGAGCACATCGAAAGGATATGCAGACATGGTCAATGACTCCTAGAGGACAGCCGTATGTAATAGCATTTATGAAATCGTGGGACTTCGCAAAAATGGGATCCAAGGTACACGGGAACTGGTTACTCGTGTATCAAGTCAGGAGGTCAAGGAACTGATACAATGGCAGCTGAAAAGTTAGCTCGAGGAGATCCGACCCGAAGGTGTCCACCGCCGAACTGCAAGATAGATCAGCCCAACAGACATCAGGGAGGTTGAAATCCCTTAGTAGTAGACATTTACTTGCAGCTTGAGTAGGAATAAGCTCAATAACCTTAGAGATACTTGCAGGACTTCTATATACCGCTACAACTGTAAACTGGGTAGAGAAAAAGCACACAATAGTCGACAAGGCTTCAACAGTTTGATCTGGCGACTGGAAAACACAGGTCCTCAACACAGCCAGTTTGCAGCTCACATAAAGAGCAATGCCCCCACCATGGCGGCCAATGGAGCGATCACGTCTAACCAGCGTGTAGCCAGATAAACATACTTCACTATCAGTTATATCCGGGGACAAACGCGGTTCAGTGAAATCGAATATGTCGGGACGAGATGTGTCCACAAGTAGACCCACCTAGTGTACCTTGTTCCTTAGGCTACGCACATTGCTAAGCACTACCCGAAGGAACTCGGCACGAACAGTCCTGGGTCGTACGCTACCAGGAGGAGTTCTAGTAGGGCAGAATTTGACTTCCGGCTGACCAACTGAAAACCCACAAGAAGGAGGCCTTGCTCACCAGCTGCCCGCGCGCTCTTGAGGGTTTTGATGGCTTCTTTTGACTTCAGTCTATCTGCCAGTGGGAGGTCAGGCTGAACGCTGACATTGCTACCCTTGAGTTTGAATGCAAAGCGCAGTAAGGCTTTGCGTTCCTCCGGGGTTGAGAGGACTACATGAAGTAGTCGGGGTCGCGGGTTTGGCGTATCGACCGGGACGTTCCCCAGTCTGGTTAGCTTGCTGATAATGACACCAGGGAAACCAGGTGGAAGCATCTTGGTGACTCAGAGCTTGAACCAGTGGAGGTTATCCAGCATATGTTCCCTGGGAAAAGCTGTCGTGGATTCGGCAAGGTTACGGAAGATAACGCTGCTATCAGTAAAAGAATCACCTGGACGTGGCGTATTAGCTCCAAGAGTCTTCGATTTGACTCAAATTGCGATCGGTTTGGAAACTGACGGCGCGTTTCTTCGCCAAACGAGATGGAGTAATTGAGGATGAGGCTTTATGCTCTACCTCCAACACCTTTATGGGTTCAGTACTCGCTGGCTTTGTGGGGGATTTACGGAGTTTGTTAGCCCTCTTCCACTTGATTTTAGTGAACAAAGGGCTATAAGATCAGTATTGCCTTGGACGACGTCCAGTACGACATCAGAAGCTTCATTAGGGGTATTCAGGGTAGCTGGGGCACATGACACGGTAGCCGTCATCTTAGTCGGATTCTCATCGACAGCATGTGAGATTGGCTGCATGGCTTCTTCCAAGGAGCCGACATCTATAGACTCCATGTTACGATCAACAGATGCGAGGAAAGACCACATCTGTTGGTTACCCAGCCTGACGTTGCTCGACGCCTCCTCTGTGACGTCAAGACTCTTAAACCGGCGGCTACGGCATACAAAGAAATTGATCAGCATATTATCGCTAGTCGAGAACATTGTGTACTGGTCAGAGCTCAAATCGGTACAGGTCTCATGGTACCAGCAGTGGCATACATAGCACTGCATGTCCCTAGACTCGTCCGTCACAGGCCTTGAGCAGCTCATACTGTCGCATACAGCATTAGATTCGATGAGCATTGCATCCGAAAACACATTAGCGCCGGTATTCAGTGTATCCGACATGACGCTTTCAAAGACAGTGTGAAACAAGAATGGAAACGTAGAACTGACGATCTGTTACCTGCAGGACAGTCAACAGAAACGGTTACGGTTTAGAACTAGGTGCAAAAAGGATCACAGGATACAAAAGTACTAGAAAAATAGCCAGAAGCTGAACCCGAAAAATGATGGACGATGTTAGGTAAGTAGCCGAAAACGGGTACGACGCGAGACACGCCTGTAAC